AACCACCAGTGCTCTTGCAGCGTATAAGCAAACACACCAGAACAAGGTGACCAGATGGTTTTCTAATAATACTAGCAATATACACATACGTACAATAGTAATTCTAGGTGACGATTCCGATTTACGCATAAACAGCAAGCAACCTGCAGATGTGCTTAGCTGAACACATAGTTCATTGCTAGTTTAATCCATCACATACTGTCATCATACCATGTAGATGCAGACATTCTGCCAATTATCACAGAACACAAGAATTAATCGAATGTCCAAAATCCCATCCTATACTGACAGCGGAAGTTCATTTTAGCCTGTCTGCTGGTTTACGCGAATTTGAAGTAAAAGAATAGATTACGACCATTACCATTGTAGAATTCATTCCTGCGCATTAATGGGCTCCAGGAATAAACACAAATTTGGCATTTCTAGGCACGTCCGTGTTTGGTGGTCAAACGCAATGTAAACGAAGGAGTCGATGGGACATACTATCATGTGCGAAGACGGCAAGTTTCGCATACATGGAACATATAGCACTTATTATTCACACTGCACAGTTACATCCACATTATTTCTTATCCATTGCTTTTTCCACGTCCGCAGTAAAAACTATGATAACATGTCTCCTAGGACGTAACAACAAGCCCTATCTTGAATCACATAAGGTAGCAACGAGAATGATTAAAAATTTACTAGTCGAAATCCAGAAATCTGCCAAAAATTCGGATGTTGAACATGCATCCTTGAGGATTTGAGCAGATATTATTATCGACTGTGAGCTCTTTACTCCTGGTGTCCATTCATTCGTCACCAGCGCCGGTTCTGCACGGACTAAGACCGCAGATTGTTGTCAAGTTTGTTTTGTTTCTCCGATTCAAAATAGTTTTCAGCTTTCACATTTTTCCGAAATCTATTTCTGGACCGTCGTGTTTTAAGCTTGATTTTGTATTAAATAAGCGCAAAAAATTGTGCAACACCACAAAAACTGTTCAGTTCCGAAAGCGCTATCTAAAGCACTTAGGAAGATTAACTATTATGCACTTAGCTCCGGTAAGTTCATCAGTTATTCCGTGAGTTTCTTAAACCTTAAAATTTGTTACGCTGGGTTTCAGTCTCAAAAGTTCAACTTTGCCCAAAAAACACATAAGAACTCGCTATTCTGGCTGATTCTCAACCAGCTAAATTGCCGAAAACTGTTGTGAGACCAGAAGAATGGTTTGAAGTTCTAATTTAGGTGCTGTCTTCCAGATGCATAAAATCCAGGCCTAGATGCAAAAACATATTATTGTGATGTCAGCCAATCGCCAACAGTAGAGATCTTTTAGGAAATTTTCAGATGATGTACTGTTCGGATTTGTCATTCGACATTAGAAAGATGTCTTTTGGTCGCTGAAAACAACTGTGTAAAATATCCTCATGTTACTGGATTTTGAATTCACTTAATCCACTGCCTTCATCAGGTCAGTTAGATTCATCTTATGTTCGGGTCATTATTGAGTAATAATAGGCATGCCAAAACTTCTTTACAAAATTTAGTTAATTTTACCTTATATACGAATTGAAAATTCATTAGTGATATGCAGTCACTTTAATGGTGAGTTTTCTCGTCCATTTCTCATCAGCGGAATACAGCCATATTCATTTGCTTGTTCCCCAGACCCAAAACTAACGCCTGAACCACCTAGTAAGACATGTTTACAGAACGATTTTGCTTACAGCCCGTAGGCCTAATCTATAACGGGCATCAAACCTTGTTGAGAGCCTGTATTTTTTATGTATTTTATGATGTGTTGCACGCTTTTTGGTGAACTAGTGCATGAAGTTAGTCCCTCAGCCCAGTTGTTTCCAATACTTTATTCGAATTGCGGTTACATTGTACTCCATCTTCTCCGTTCATTTTACACGATCCAACGATATACACCGTATTCAGCCTTAACTCAGTTTAGGCAAATGGCCTGAGCTCTCCGCAAAATGAACCAAGAATTACAGAAGAAAAACAAAGTCCATAGTAGAGTGAAATCCAGCTTTAGTTAACTATGCGTTCGTTCATCTGCCCATACTGATATTTGACTTTGAAGGTAACTTGAACAACAGAGTGTGAAAATGAGGATGTTTTCTTGGACGGAAGGCTATCGGCAAAGGTAACTTTTATTACTTGTCAAAGAAAAGTAATACCCGAGTCTTATTCAAATGTGTCGCATAATCGTGGTGGAAAATGATGGAGCGACATTTCGGCGTTCAGCTATGTTACAGTGAGGAAGTGTTGTAAAGGTAACTTTATTTTAAGTGGAGAATGGACAACATTGCTCACTTGGACTCTCCTTATCCAATTTTTGCTAGATAAAACGGTACCCAGTATGAGGTACAGTGTACAAAATCGTCGGGCTGACGCCGGAAATTATCCAGTAGCGACCGGACCCCGTTTGTTATAAGCGTGTTTTTTTAAAAATGTATGCATGATTTTCTCCACCAAATAAGTTGTTGACAATTCGAACTCACAGCATTATGAGATTTTGTACCTATTATTTCGATCTTGGCAAAAAAAACCGCCAGCATCCAATGTTATTAACATACAAAACTTGAGGAACATTATCTCTTGGTGTGCTGAAGATACATCCTTATATTTAAGCCAACTTAGAACGTTTTCTCTTTCAGTTTGAAATAAGTCATTGAGATGAGACACCGAGACGCAACAGCAGAAAAGCAAGTGAACTTTAAGTTTTTCTCTCAACCAACTTTCATGATGAGTTATGAATAGGAGGAAGGAGATGTGGCATTTTTTATCCAACTTTACTGCTTTCAGCGAGGAACAGACAATGGACGCTTATATAACAAGATTCTCATCGATGTCATATTCAGCAGCTAACAACCTGATATTATCAACCTGAAACTATGACCCGGCTGGGAGCTAATGTGAATACCTCTATAATTCGGATGGTTCGTTGGCTTGTTCTCTGAGCAGGGCAATTTGATTGCAAACGTTTCATCACCGATCGTGGTCGAAGGTCATCCCCGGCTACCAGCTTGTATATTAACACACGAGTATCATTACTCAACTCACAACCGCCAACCCACCGCTACGCACAACTATGCTCCCCAATAACGCACTGGTGATGTCACCTCGTGATGAGATGAAACGTTTGCAGTCAGACTGCCCAGCTCAGCGAACAAGCCAACAACCATCTACGCTACCTGAGCCACCGACATTTTATAGATAATTACCTGAGCCACCGACATTTTCCTCTATAGATAATTCAGATTCTTTAGTTTACTTAACTGGCTACTCACCCCAGGTTTTTCAAGTTTCCTGGTCTAGTCGGGTAATTATTTCCGGAGCAAACAGTCGCTAGTTTACATCTGTCTTTATCACATCGATATACACTTGAACCCCTTGATCCTCACAGCTACACTTCATCCGTCGAGTTTGTTTGACTGGCACGAAAAATGCAGTTTAGGAATCCAATTGTGCTCTCGTCGTTGACAATACATTATCAAATGACATAATTCTGTATACACACTGTCTACGGTGCTTTATGGTACATTAACTGATATGACTGAAGCATCTTTATTGCACTACAACTTTTCCAATTTTCTGTAGTGCTCGTGGAATTTCGTATCCCTTTACCAAACAAGCAACACCACGGCACGTTTGATATGGCCTTCTTCAGAGAAGTTACAAATTTTGGGCAATACGATACCAAAATTTTGATAATTTTGATTCCGCTGTCATCGCTTAAACCATATAGAATATAAGTAAACCAAAACTTCAAACCTAGATGTTTTTCGAGAATGTGAATTAAATATTCCAGTAACATTCGAGAACAAAAAATCATGAACGAATGTGCTTAACTGAAGTTGCTAAACTGTGCGAGACATAACGTGATGATCCTCAGGCAACTGGAAGGATGTTCGACAAACAAATAACCACCAGTGCTCTTGCAGCGTATAAGCAAACACACCAGAACAAGGTGACCAGATGGTTTTCTAATAATACTAGCAATATACACATACGTACAATAGTAATTCTAGGTGACGATTCCGATTTACGCATAAACAGCAAGCAACCTGCAGATGTGCTTAGCTGAACACATAGTTCATTGCTAGTTTAATCCATCACATACTGTCATCATACCATGTAGATGCAGACATTCTGCCAATTATCACAGAACACAAGAATTACAAAAGAAAAACGTTCCTTTTGTCTTACCACTCTGCGTGTATCCATTCCATGTAACCTGATTATTCTCGCATCACCATGCAGAAACTCTGTTCATATCTGTTGTGCTGAGACTATCTGGTGAGGCAAGAATTTCCGACACGTATGGTGACTGAATGGAAGGCCAGATGTATTTAATCTTTGGCTGTATGAAATAAGGAATTGCGGTAATTCAACATAGCTGAACATACTTTACAACAAAGCGTTCGTGACAAGGAACCTCATACGTGTATTTTAGTAAGTGAATCTCGTAGGTTTAGTTGCATAACCAAACCTAATGAAGTCAGCGCTTTGAGAAAAGCAGTTATTTAGGCGTTCCAGTGTACCTTTATGCGGTCACTCAATACATTTTCAAGCAATAGTGCAGACGGCGAATTTAACGCAAGCGCCCGTGGTTTCACACAGGAGGATATGAGGTTTATCGTAGCAGCTTTACGACGATGACTGACTTTTATCTATCTCACCCGAGGACTCATGTATAGATGAAACATGTTTAATTCAGAAACCTACAACGGAATGAATGCTAAAATTAGTCGTCATTGCAGACATAAAGTTGCTGGTCGGTTGGCCACATGATTTTTACGGTGTTCCATGTGTAAAGGTCGTAAATGTGAATGGTTTTCAGATATGAATTATCCCCTGAGTATGCCCGTTATGCACTAATTTGTCCGCACCAATTTATGGAAATTATTGTTTAAGATATTTTCTTCTAAAATAGTCACAATATTACTCTCCAAGATTTGCCACCACGTTCATACGTACTCCTTATCACTTGACCATCCAATTGCAGGCAACCTTTATCTAACCAGTCTACCGTCTGTCAGTCGAGACAATTCAACATATATGTGTTCAGTAAGCAGTCCCATACTCCGAACGATCTGGACAGGACCTGACATGCACGTTCAATTCCTTCAAAATTTTCAACCGGATGAACAAATTTGGAGGACCGAGACGCTGAAGCCAAGGATTATTTACAAGTCTGCCACGAGACAAGTTGCCCTTGTGAACCAGTCGTTAACACTTAAATGTATACTAAGAGGGCACCCACCTCCCACCATTGTTTGGCAATGGTCAAGTGAGATATCAAGTCCACTGCCCATGGAGGGACCGGTGAATTCTTCTGTAAAATCCCATTTCTACGAAGTAGACAAGGTTAGCTTTAATAAGCTGGCATTCCCTGCTTTCGAATTTATTTGCCAATAACGGTTTACTCAAATAAATTTAGAGAGGCCCCTGATCAAACTACTCGCCCAGTACTTCATGCATGCTGGTGTTCACCAACGTATAAATTTTGCAACAGCATAATGAATTAGTAACTTTTGGTTTATACGGAATATATACTTTCGGAGTCAAAATGAAACAAGAAGTGAGACCTAGAAGCAGTTAACCTGTGAAGGATAAGTGAAACCTAAGAATGCTAGAGGAAATCACACAATGCTACAAAAGCACAGTTTACCCAATCCTATACAGCCATTTACATGCAAGCAATAAATGGCCATTAACCCAAGTCCGTAGAAGCCTGAGTTACAAGCCTCTTGATCGAGTGAACCCATCTACAAATGATTGTTCTGATTATTTCTCCGACTTATCGGACTGCTGCCTTATAAACCAAGTGGCCAAAAACGCTTGTTCAATGCCACCTATAGGCATATTTCTCACCTACTTACAAATGTTTGGACCTTTGTACAACGACAAGACATAACTTAGATGGGTGAATCGGGATTTGGTTTTTCCTTGAACGGAGTCCACGGCGCGTCAAATCCTTATAGGAACTCAATGAGCGAACTTAGCTAGAACACGACAGACTCGTTCACTGAATGGATACCCCTAACCGAAAGCCGAACCCCAAGCTCACTTGCTAACTTTATACTTTTGAGCAAGTCTTGGCTTCCTTATTTTTCTGTGGTGCATGGCGCCATCTTATGTAGTCCAGGTTATATTTGATCGGTGGAAAATCTTTTTTCATCATTCAGCAATGGGCAGTTACTTAGAAGGCCAATCGAAATTTTTTCACTGTTCCCTCGACTGAATACTCCACTTATCACCAGCATACGCTGCAAATTTTGGTCAAAACATCTCTGAAGGGCACATTATGGTTTCCACAAAATAGGCTTAAAACTGTATTCAAAATACGTCCTTTTTTCCAAAAAATACCCTATTGACAAATTATCGTATCATATGGTACTATCTAACTGTCGTTAAACAAAATATTGATGGATGTACCTATTAGAAACATGCGGCTCATATCATGTTTCATTAAAAATGTAAGTAGGTACATTAAAATTATATGGCACATGTCAATCACCGTCGAATTTAGCGAAACGAACGTAATTCCATTGCTGTCGTAGACACACGAGGATGTCACAATGTATGTGTAAGGTGGCCCAAAGGACGTACATCCACTGGTGCAAAAACTCAAGCTTATTGCATAGCTTAGGCTACCGGAACCTGCGGATGATTTATTTTTAGCTTTCTGTCGAAACGTTTTTACGTGGCGGAAATATTATCACGAACTAAGGAAAAGTAAAATAAGTTCTTTCATTCAATAACTCGCGAGTTATATTTGGTGTTTATTTAGAATTAAACTGTTTAACTTTCCTGGCAGATTTACAAATCAAAAGGCATTGTGGTGCGTCATCAGGGCACCGAGCTGTTCATTCCGTCCGTGAAACCGTTCAACCAAGGAGCATATCGTTGCTCAATCAGAGAAGGTCAAGCTTCATCCACAAGAATTGTACCGTTTGTCACTTACGAAGTGCTTGTTGAAGGTGAGATTGTAGGTATTCAAATATGTTGTGAGCCACTAGGCAGTGGCTAATCTTCAGAATGAGCTCAACTGCTTCTGCGGTACCTGTCTTCATTTCAACACAAGGTAATTCATACCTATAGGACTTCGTTCTGTTTCAGGTCCACCAACCTTTGCGGTCGTTCCGAGGAATACCATTATTCCAATTTACGGATCAACTGTTTTAAATTGCTCATGCGATCCCGAATGGACCAGGCCACCCGCGACCCTGACCTGGTTGCTCAACTCAAAACCAATCGATGATCATCTGGAGATGAACCGTGGACAAATAATTGGCCAGGTATGTTGAAATTCTCCGTAGACAAGCTACGAATCAGTATCGTCTTGTTATAACCAGCTTCAGCTAAGATACCGCAGGAAATGTTGGTGATTCCTTCTACAATAGTTTCGGAGTAGCACAGCAATTGTGAATTTTCATTGTGTAATCCCCGTTTTCCCGCAACACAGCCTCCTGAAGATAACTGAGGACGTTTGTTCGAGAGAGATTTGTTCATAGAGTCATTGACCCTTATGATCAGAATTGAGCCTGCAATATGATCACATAAAACGCAATAATCCTGCATCTATTTCATCAGTGAAACACAAAGCACTAAAATATACTTCGCAAGTGCCGAGAACACCCAGGAACTCTGAGTTCGGATTAGATTGTGTTGCGTTTCTCAGTGAGTGTGCCTATATAATCTCCTCCAAACTTTCGGTCAGCTACGCCCCAGGTTCGATCGTTTTGGACATCTATTTGAGCATGCGGATGGAACTCTTCAAATAATTGTGGTGACTTGCAGAAAATGGAAGGAAAGTTACCAGGAAAATGTAACAATTGAAGCCAGTTTAAGCCATGGTAGCAAGTCTGCTTAAAATTGCCGTCTGCAAATTTTATGTCTCCGTACCTCGGAGCCAATAGCGATTCCTCTTAACAGGTTCCAGCCAAATAATTTTTAAGTTAACTATGGGTATGTGAGTGTTTGGTGGGTGATTTATGCTGGCGCCATAATGCTAGTCTGGTTTGTACGCAAAAGATTGAACAAAGTGGCCTGGATAAGATCCAAGCGTTTATGTGTGTTACACACCAGACAACCTTAAAAAGGGCATATTCTAATAAAAAACTGGTTACATATAAAATAATATCAGGATTCTACTGAAGGTGATGGCCAACGTCCTTCCGAACTATCAGCCAAATTCCATTTTTTGGGGTTTCTTCATAGAACACACACAGTCGCTGGCCATTCCATCAGTGTCATTAAGGGTGGGTGCCACGCGAGTTCTTAAATGAACCCTAGAAATCACATTCCGCTATTGGGTGATGACAGCCCGATGTTAATATCTTCTCTGAAAGCTCCGTCGTTGTTTCTATATAGTAACCTTAGTTTGCAAATTGGTAAACCTCACTCGGGATGGTAACCGAGCGCATTTTTCTAGGCTGTTTATTCTGGAATAGAACCCTTTTTAGCTTCATTATTCGCCAAGATTTATTTAACCACAGGGATTACTGTGACAAGTGATTCAATGACACTTTGGTCAAAACGTGCATCTGGAACGTTTTTGGACCGGGCGGCTTGACGGTTATGATCATCTCTTCCTTGGCAGGTCACTCCCATTTAAAAGCATATCAGCATAGAATGTTGTTTCAGCAAAAGAAAAGAAAGTGTCTTCCATCACGTCAGGTTTGTTTCTCAAATGGGAAAAACAAACTTATCGCATAGATCCTCAAAGAAAGCGGTTTCGGTAGGTCATTTCCAAATTGAGTTTGAACAGCCATTGGTTGTTGGTTTGTAGTGAACGTGCTGATAGCTACTAGGCGATTATATTAAGAGAAGTGCGTTCCTTTATTCATGGAATATATGGCTGACATCACAGCATCACCAACACAGGCGGATCAACGTACTATCATTTCAGTTGGGTTTGATGTGACTGTCACGCTTTTGTGGGGTTGCGCGTCTTACGCTGTGCTAATGTTTCACACCCGACCTTCGGACCAAGTCGTCGTGTTACGTGTAGATCTTTTCGCTTGGGTCACCCCTGAACGATAAATTTGGCCGGACAAAAAAGCGAGTCACTCAACGCTGTCATGAAAACCTCACATGATTTGACTAAGCGCTGCGTATTTGCGCATGTATTTAGAGATTGTGCTGCAGTATACGTACGTTTTCTAAATTGAACCATGATGTAAAATTTCATTACTTATTTATGCCACATGGCCCAAGCACGAAATAGCACACTCAGTTCTAGGATCGTGTTACATGCACGAATTTAGCACAGACAAACGTGCACAAGGGGCAGGAGGCACATGATTTCCACACCAATTACAGCACAGATAAGATTGCGTTTAACCGGCCAGCCAAAATGAAGTTTTAATGTGCCGTTTATCACTTAAAACAAATTCCACCAGTGATGGTAACGCCGGATAGTTTCATTTATTTTGTCTCTGGCATTTGCTGGTGTTTTCATTGTGAAAATCCAAGTCACCGGCAGAGAGTAAAATAAATAAAGTTAGATTGGGGACGAAATAGAATGGTGAGAAAGTGGTATTCTTAACGTTCCGTATTTACCCATATAACAGCAGTTCCATAGAATGATATCTGTCTAAATCTATTTGGTGGGCAAGAGATTCCTTCTTGTACCTCCGCGACTAAATTTACTGTAACGTATTATATTCAGCTATGTGAATAATCAGCTTTTGTTCACGTAACTTTAGTACATTTAAGTTTGCAGATGTTCCCAAATCCGGAATGATTGTTATCTGGTTTCATAAGCATTCGGAGGCACTAGCCAAAATAGGCAGGAAATCCTGATGATCACTTTTCTCTCCGGTTAGTTTTATAAAACTCAGTTAGCCGTCATACCTACAGCTGCGGTCATTTTATTATATCATTAGGCCAAACCAGTCTAGGGATATAATTTGTGTAACAATTTTAAGGATAGTTTCTAAACAAAATTACTCTGGCAGATGTTGTGCAGTTATAACTCACAAAACTCCAAACAGCTGAGTTCAATTAGGTCGAAATAGCTCGTAAGGTACTTATTGCACACCATGAGCATATTTGGACACACAGTTCATTTTGTTTTTAACATAAACCCATTTAAATAGATTTTTATTTTTGTTGTCGGCACAATATACGGTTGCGTGAGCCTGTCAACCAAATGAACATTAATCTTTCACGACCATGCCGAAAGTGAAGCACAACAGAAATATTTGCCATGGTTTCCTTATATTATCTGAGAGTCATCATGAAAGAAACCGTCACGTACAAATGTTCTCTACAGAATAAAAACTAAATGTTTTTTTGGAAAACTTATCGTGTCCTATGTTTTTTTTTCAAGCGCATACACACAAAAGTTTGCAAAGTTGTTTTAGAAATACATAGATTCGCGTAACTTTCTTTTAAATCATTTGTCGGTATAGGGTGGGAATCATGTTCTCGTAAGGCTTGCTAAAGTTTGCTAAGTAATTTGTTATTATGTTCCATTGAGGTAAGCTTTATAATCATTGCTGCTGTAGTGTGGACCTTGCGAATTACGAGAATGTTTCGCTGAGATAAAACACTCAGTAAAAAGTTTCTAGGCTACCGTTCTAAGAGTTGCATGTTTTCCGTATGGTGTCACATCGTTTTCACATCGTTCGTCACATTTTTTGGAAGGGACGGTAGCCCATTTATTTATCATTTATTTTAAGCATTCGGCTCCTGAAAATGTGTCGAACTTTGAATTAGGCATATCGCTTTATGTTCTGGTCAATTTATTATGAATCGCCTTGGTATTTTTTCGGTGAAGTTCACTGAAAGTTCGCAGCTGCTGCTGTCTTAGAGACCGTTATGGAATACTTTGACCATAGAAGGGATGAATGGCTCACATTTTCTAGCTAATATTCCTATTATGCTTAGCACGCGGACGGCGATATTTCCAAGCTACTCATGTCTACACAGAAGCAGTTGAGACGACTGTCATTAAGTTCTTGCTCTAAAACCTGAGCTAGCTGGAGTTTGACAGCTACCTGTAGTGTATCAGCATCAATGGGAAGACGAACTTATTATCTATCTGGGTTGATTTGACCTAAGCCGTTTATATTCGGAAAGATATCGTGGGACGCGTATGTTATAAGTTACTGGAGATAATCCACCATTCATACTTTACTAATGATCTTGAACCCCGATGACAGTGCTGTCTTTAAATGATTTCAATCTTTTTACGCAACGGGATTATTGCACTCGAAGACTGAAACTATTTATCTACGATGCAGCTTGGAAAGCTGATTTAAGCTATCCGATATTCGAATTTAAATGTGGCATGTCATGCAGTACGGCATGCCTGTATGATGCCCCGAATGCTTCCAGGGCACAGAAGCCTGCATAGAATCACCTATCAAATAAATCCACATAAATCAACAAATTGTGACCACGTATTATTGGAGTTTTGGAGTTTTGGACGTTTCCCTCTAGGAAAACAGTGACAAAGGTTAAATTTCGTTAAAGTTCCCAGTCACATCTGCCGTTATCCCATTTTAATTTAATAAAAGATTTCAAAAACAGTTGTAAAACTATGAAAGTATATGAACAGGTAATTCAAGCACCAGCGTAAAGTGAAAAGTTCAAGGGAATGTGGATGACCGAAGGAGATGTTCAGATATTATATTATTTGCTAGATAGGACAGAGAAACTGAGTTTCTTTTCTTGAGGTTTTATTCAGTATAACTCACCATGATAATTCTTGTAGAATCCTATAGCGAACCTTACGTGAATTGGACAATACCAAGTTTAACGACTTTGACTTGCTGATGCCAAGTGGATTTTAGCAATTTACCCCTGCGACTCAGCCACGAATGGGAAGAAATCCCATAGAAGAAAGTTACAGCTTCAATGAACCGCTTAGAAGGTAATAATGGAGAGCAGACCACTGACGGCAGAAATGTTGTACAAAGTCCCCAATATACAAATTTTTCCATGATAAATGATCCAGCCAGTGGAAAAAACTTCAAATCAGACAGCGTTGACAGTCGTCCAGATTACGTGTCACGCCGTCAAACTACATATAGGGGAGTCCAGCTCCAGACGTTTTAGCAAGTTGCTTGCTCTTTCAGCAACAGATAACTTGACGAAAATAGAAAGCACAAATCCAAACCAATGTCTAAATATATTTCGACAATTTTCGACCAAATCTCGATAATGTCCGACCAACTGTTCGATTTTGGCCCACCTACCCGGCAGAGGATATCAGATAAACAATGCGAGAGCCTCGTCACTTATTTACCAAAAGCTACATTGTTTATCGAGTGGAGCGTCACAGACTCCCGCGCTATTCCGATTGACTCGAAGCCCTACAGGAAAAAGCACCATGTCAATTCCTAGTCGGACTACCTGGATGTAGTTGGCTTGTGGTTTTTCTGGTGGTATCAAGTAATATAAGGCCCACAAAAGCTGCCGTGATAGTCCTCCTGATGGGGTCCTTTCTGAAAAGGGATTTTAGATAGTTCATCATGTGATTCCAATGTGTGGATACCTTCTTTTCGACCATTTCGCAAGGTTATAAAGCTGTTTAAACCTAGTCCATTCTTCGCTTTTCGTTTAGTGAGCTTTATTCTGTACATATGTCAGCAAGGCAACAGCATTTAAGATTTGTGTATCTATGAGGATGATCTGTGGTAGCTTGTCTATGATAGACTTATTCGATTTAATCACACAGACGGCTCAAACCACTAGTGATCATAACCCATACATCTGAAGGTTATCGGGTAGTTAATCAAACACTCACAATATGCTACGTGTCTATCGTATTCTCCTGATCGCTGGTTTCCAAACGCTGTTTTCCTAATCTGATTGGTCGGTTTTCTGGAGCTAATTTCATCAGCAAGCCAACACAACCAAATAACTGCTTGTTTGGGTCATAATATTCATAGACAACTATCAGATTTCAACAACGGTTAATGGTTTTTACTTTTTTAAAATTAACCACTTATGGAATCATGTGGGAACCAGCCGGAATACTAGCGTTACCGGTAGATGTCAGTAGCTGATCATAAACTGTCTTCTCTGTGTTATTCAAAACGTCAATGCTTTTGAAATTACGTTTGTTCAGCATGGTATAACGTGAAAAACGGCACTGGTAACAAACAGCTTTATCAATTATTTTCTGCTATGGTTCAAAAATTTGAAATCACCAACTAGTGCGGCCGTTTACTCAGAAAAATTCAACAGAAAAACAAAATTCTTCAAGATGCGTTGTGTACATCGAAAGTGTGAGTAATGCTACCAGGACAAATCCAGACTCCCTACGTTGCCACATAAAAGGCTTTAGTGTCCGATACATCGATCTTACTGCCCATTTATAGTCAAAAGCAATGCAATATTAGTTTGCTAGTTGCCACAGCCGTTCCACTGTTGGGTTTTGATTACAGTGAGAAATGTGTAATTCCTAATAAGAAGTATCATTGTCAACCATGCGTGTATCTCACAAGTCGAGTACGACTCAGAAATCAAAATGTTATATATCATTGGAGTCGCCCCTTAGGTTGATTCATTCCCGTGGCCTAATGATGTGTATTTTAGTAGTTTTGCACAAACCACTCCCACAAAGACTGTGGAAAGCTTGGCTAATCGGAAACAAATTGGAGATAAGAAAGTTAAGGAAACCAGGCAACTCAAATGGATTTTCGCACACTCGAATTCAGACAGGAGAAAACAACAGAAAATGGAATCTCCTGTTGCAAGTGTTCTGTTTTTAATGTGGGCATACTAAAACAAAGGATTATTTTACCGTTCCAGTTTGCTTGTCCTTTATCATAAGAATTTTTACAGTTGATCAGCAACATCATGTAAGATTTAGCTGGCAGAATGTGTTTGAAATATACCAGAAATAAACACAAGGTTGCTTTTAAGGAAGGCTTTGTCTGACAATCATTTAGTATATTCCAGGTACATTTTGATTACTTATTTTATGCCGGAAATGAAAATATGTACACGTAAATAGGGGTATACATGCACAAAACGTCCACGCTGGAGAAACACTTAGGTGTATCTGTTCATGACATACTTCTTCTTTGATTCAGAGTCTCTATCTGAACCATTCCAATCTTGTTGATGTCGCTGCGTTCCAGTGCAAGCTGAATAATACCCATGGCTGGCGCATAGCCAACGCATACGTCAAGATTTGGAATCAACCTCCTGCAATCACTCGATCTCTGGCTCCTGAAAATCTAGTGGCAGAAAAGCAGTCCATTACACTGTACTGTGAGTCGATGGGAGCACCTCGAGCTAATATGCGATGGAGAAGAAATGAAAGATTACTACGAGATTTGCTGATCACGTCCGGTCATTATGTTAGGGAGAGATTCCATACAACGGACGCAGGGAACTTGATAATTGAAGTAGGCATTTGTCTTGTCGTCTCACATATTTTCACTGTGGATGCAATGTGATGCTTCCCGTTAGAGAATCTTTACGTATGAGGACCTATTTTGCGCAAAAGTACTGAAGAAATGTCAGGCTTTACTGCAAAGGGGACTTTCCTGAAGGTCTGTATTTCCCAATATGGCACTGAGCTAACAACAAACCCAGGAATCTAACGAGTGTTTTCTTCAGTCAGAGGTTATCACGGACGCGCGATTCTTCCCAAGATCCCTCAATATTACTTGAAAATCCTGCCATTGATTTGATGAGTCACGTGCGGACTTTATAGCTAACAGGTGCGCAGTCTTCCTCAAAATGATATTTTGACATAGGCCGGAAAAAATTTTTTCGCCGAACTGAATGAAGATGTTACAGTTCACGTAGCTACCGGGACTGAATTCGGTGATCCTATAGAAAATGTAGATTTCAGTTGTCTGTGATGATAAGAATCTAATATTCTAAGATCAGTTACATAATATTTCTTGGAATCGCATTACTGATCACCGGCGACTGAAACAGCTGTGGGAATTTCTCATCTGGTAGGTGGTAGAATATTGATAACAATATGGGGCAAAAAGCCTCAGTAGCTTTTCGTGGTGTTTCTGGTATTGGTTACTTCGAGAAAAAGTACCTTGAAAGCTTGAAGATGCAGCGACGGTGTTTTGTTGCTTCCCAGTCATTTATGCGGCCTTATTTCTATCCTCATGCCAATATTGGACAGCCGATTTGTTTGTCTGAGGTGAACAGCGTTCTTCAGAGGCTAGAGGTTGCAGATTCAACCAGAAATAGATAACCTACCTAATAAGCCCTAGTGGTTACAAAACCGCCACAGACACGTTAACTATGACAGGGAACCTGAGAGGGCCTATCCATTGTGATTCTCCGAACAAAAACACCCGTTCCTATTTTAAATGTATTTTGAACCAGCTATGTGTCAGTAACCCTACAGATGCCCTGTATGTTATTTGCTTTCAGAAAGTCACAATCTCGGACGGCGGCTTGTACAGTTGCATTGCGTCCAATCCTTTTGGCAGCACCAATGCTAGCGGTCGACTTGTGGTTCGTAAGGCCACACATATTTCAAACGGGCCGCAGATGTTTGTACGAACCGGTGGCTTGGTGGTCAAAATGCAGCAAAACAAAACTAACAATATGACCCGAATAAGAGAGCAGAGCTTTATTCAACTTACATGTGAAGCAAAGACGGATCCTCTGGAAATGATGCACTTACAGATGACTTGGATGAGGTATGCTTTCATGAGGTCTATTTGTATTTCAGAATGATGTGAATCGTGTTAGATAAATATGTACGTGATGACAAGAAGTTGTTTGTAAGCAGTTGTTCCTCACGAAATGCGTCGCTTAATGGCAGCACTCTACAATACTTTAAATATTTCGCTGCAAAGACATCATACACTTCATATACTTGGTTATCCTTTGATGATGTCAATTTTTCTCGCCCTTCCGTGGTGGACCTCAAGAATGATTTTAGGAAAAATGAATACAAAAACATAGAATCAACCTTAAAGAAGCTTTAGAGAGGAAGAAGAAACAGCATGATGTAAGTCGCGGGTGTAGAGCAGACATTAGTCGAAAACACAAAATCTGCGATTGATTAGTATGAAGAATTTGGAGGTAGCCGCAGTCCTTGAGTAAGAAGATGGTCCCACTCAATTTACTGTGTGATTACAATGTTAATTGTTGTGCCCTAATCAACACTGCTTTAGAGAAGACCGAGCGTTCTGAGTTAAGCTTATCCTGAAGAAACTGAGAGAAACCAAACTGAGTAACAACGTAAGGTTGTGGCGGTGTGTCGCGCAACCATTGCCTGCCCTTTCTCATAAGTGGCACCGAAATTTTACCCACTATCCGGAGAGATCATAACCAAATTTTGATGGAGAAAACACTGGCCGGTTCTAAGATAGTATATTTATATGATATTTGGGGTCAACTGTTATGGTATCAGCTTGAATTTAGCCTACATCTCAAATTTGTAGACGGAGATCACACTTACTTAAATTGCTTGAATTGTGAGAATCGGAGGTTTTGTGTCAGTGTTTGGGGTTGTTTGTAATGTAGTCACTTTTCAGCTTTAGGCCTGCCAGGCCAAACGGTAAATGCTTGATGGACTAATGGTCTGCACTTTGCCTGAACGGACGTAGTTGCGCCACCAAACTAAATATACCCAATTTGGCTTGTGAAAAGGTTTATGATCAAACCTACCATACAGAACTAAACAAGCCGTTCAACTCTCTTCAGGTATAGAGGAGAAGGAAAGATGCAGTCAAACGCTGCCACAACGACCGATATAGTCACGCAAAAAATGCGCACACAACATTCTGGCCTTTCTTAAAGAGTGTTGAGTCCGGAAATACTAGGAAATTAACCGTTCACAGAGTTTAGTATGGCTGCCTGTAGACGAATTAATAGGAGTCAGCTTCCAGTACTTTGGATATTAATTGACGCAGTAGCAATTTCCAAATAGTTCAAAGTGCCTAACTGTGAAGATAATCGAGTCTGCAGACTAAGCCCTTGTCGTTGACCGATTTTGTTTATAGTCTTTAGTTAGAAATCCTTCTAAGGAGATAGGGCACATCGAATGGATGTCCGTCGGGTTATTGCGCTATGTTTGAACAGAAATATGGACAGACATATAAGCCAAGTAGATTTAGGTCATTGTTCTATGGGAAAATATTAAGCAACTCATTTTAGATTGCAGATGTGTTAAGGTACCCTAGAAACGCGGATCACAGTGCGTTTCTAGGTACAGTAAATTGATAGCAAACCTTATCATAGCAAACATGTTGTAAAACGTCTCGTGTTTCACAACAGGTTTCGTTTTCTAGCATTGTCCTAGAATAGATTTACTGATAAGAAGATTTTTGCCTCAATTATGGGTAATATTATTTTGTCTGCCTGTCGCCTTCTATCCTTGTAAATGCATTCCTTCCATCTTCAAATTTGTCTCAGTGAAATGAGCCGGGCTTCGCCCCAACAAAATCACGTCATCTCAATTAACCAACACCCTTCGAAGCATAAATAAATTTGGCCATTTATTTCTGCAGGGTTTGTGAATTCATGAAATGAGTATACAAAACCACTCCTTAAGTTGATTGACGATCGCCTTTTGAGCAAATCCTGGACTTCAGGGAACTGAAAACCTTTTCTAAGATCGATGTCACACACAATCCTAGTTGTATGTTCGCAACCCGGCTATTAGTACAGCAGTTCAAAACTGTGGGATAGATCTGGTGATGGTGCTTATGGAAATGTTATTGACGTGCTTAATATGGTAATTAAGCGGAGAATAAACAAAATTTTAAACTGGAGATTCAAAGAATTTCTTTTCTATTGGGATCAACAGAAGAGTTCCAAGATTTAAAAATTCTGTAGTAATACGGTGTTAGTTCGACATGGCGAAACGTGGAAAATCATTTAGAAAAGCAAGATACGTTTCAAATTTGGACCACATAAAAGATTACAAAAGCATAACTCACGTAATTGTTATGTAGAAAATACTCAACCTCATTTTTCGTTTTATATGTTGTCTGGCAGTCAGATGGCAGAAATAATGTTTGATATACGTCACGTCAAACTTTCAACTTATACTTGACTGTTGTAGCCGATACCTGTGTCTTCCATTACCTGACCCATTAGATTTGGCTCGTTTTCTTTATTTTTACAAGCATTTTACGTTTTACAACAGGAACAATATAACAATACCTAGTGAGGTGAATCACTTGGAGTCAGGACTCACGATTTCTATGGACGGACGTACTCTTACGATTGCTAAAACCGTTCCAAACGATAGTGGGTTATACACATGCGTTGCCCGGAGTCGACTGGACAGCGACAACGCCAGCATTTTTCTGCTGGTTGAAGGTAGGTAGCAGTTACTGGCAATACTTTACCACGCTACCAGCCATTTTGAGAACGACTTCTATTCAGTTTTAGCTTATTTAAGATTGCGCTAATGAGAAGAATAACGGAACACACCTACAGAACCGACATTTTTCAGTGATCCCCAATAAGTACCGTCAACCAGTGGTTGATGATGAATGTTGTTGAATACAATCAGGGATGAGGAGACGAAGTGCTGTAAGGGAGATTTTGATAATGTGAATCACTAACTTTAATGACATTTCAACGTCAAAGTCAGTCTGGATCGTGAAAACTAATATTCTTTGATGAAGATGAATTCACAAGTTGCACAATTTCTATCATGCTGCATAGTCTTCCATCTTCTTCCACATTCTAATTTTATCTGTTTTCACTATGAAAGTGTTCGCTTGTGCAGATCCTATAATATCTTGCTACGTTGTCTATGCTGCCATCTCCATTCGAATGGAATATCTATGCCTTACAGTATAATTTGCTTGGCCTTAACAACAGGAACTACTGAGTAAAAGCCCACAGCTAAAATAAGATTGCTTCACGACAACAGGTATAATCTTGACTCATTATCTAATCGCAACACTTTGATGGTACGCCGAAAACCAGAATTCTGATTGACTAGTTCTCGATACCCCAAAATCGTCCAACTGAAAGCCAGAAAACAGAAAGCGATTGAAATGACCGGTGGAAGTAATTAAACAATTCATCTTTATATGATGAATATCAAAGACTCTACATCATGGAAAGGCGCGCCTGGGTTGAAATCAGACAAACCTATTCCGTTGTTTATACCGCCTCAAAAATTGTTGAAACAATGCCGCCGACCTTTCAGTGCACACCTCACCGACCATGTGTAAGCCGGTCGCTTACGACTCCACATGTCTGACCATGATGTAAAAGGCAATTCCAATCTGAAGAATTAGGTAACTCGTTTCACTTATTAGGACTGAATACACCTTACACGTGCCCGAAATATTTTAGTCCTTTTCCGGGTGGAAACGTTCCACTGTTTCTTAAAACTAAGTTTGAGTAAGTGATGGAGGTCGACTGGACAACCTTTTCCTTCTAGGACAAACCACCTAGGCGAAAAAAGACAAGATCAGTAAGAGTGCTGGAAATGTGGACCAGGGGCGGCCACTGCTGCCTCCCTCATTTTAGGCCATTTGTGAGGGATACGTTAAAACAACAACACTTAAATTATTTTGTAGTTTTTCCATTTTTATTTCACCAATTACTGTCGAAAAAATTACGATTTTTCATATCATCCCACATTTTGTGAATTTTAGACCGATTTTCATATAAAAGAGTGGTGAACTTTTGGGCGGCCTTTTGTGTGCCAGTTTAGTCGAAATGTGTTTCCGTGCTTTAGAATCATTTCGATTTTCAAATGTGATAATTTACTGGTTCATCTTTCTTAATACACTCGCATTCATTCATTCGACTTAAAAACCAGAGCTTACATATATGAGATACGCTTAATTTGGTTTCACTTCTCTGAGTATGCCTAAATGTTCTATGATAGAATCTTCAAATGTGGAAAGAAACACACTTACACCACCAAACTACCAGCCCATGCAGGCCGTAGTAACAAGCATTTGAAATTGACATTTATATAAGTATTAATTCTACCTGTAAAGATCAATGCCATTTACCCAGATTTCCTTCAGTGGCCCTTCTTAGATGATGGACAAAAAAGGCCTAATAAATGACTTTATATTTACTTTAAGTGAATTTGGCAAGTGTTATACTATTTTCTTGAAGAAGTAGGTGTGATCCCTTGCAACGAACAAAACACAGTGCAGGCTTTAACTTTCTGTAAGCAAATGACAGACCACTTTCTGAGCAGACATGAGGTAACAAACACCATTTACGTATTAAGGCCGGGCTATCTAATTCTTTTGGTGTGATCCATTTGTCCAGATTCTTGGCCATCCGAACTCATCAGTAACTTTTGCAAATACACGTTCGGATGAGAGCACTTCCGGCACACTGAAACCGCGTAACTCTTATTAGTTTCCCTCACATTTAGTTCATGAAAGTGGCAAATTTGACCTTAACCATTGTTACCCGGCTGCAATAGGTTAGCAGTGTAGCTTTGTCAGGTACGAATACGTTTTTGCTTGAAGAAAAACGTTATCGTAATATCATCTTGAACTCAACCGCGCCTTAAAAGGGCTGTCATCCAGGGAGGCTGTACAGTCTGCCTCAACAATTATTCTTGTGATTCAAGATATGGCGTACTGTTTAGAGAAGTTCTAAAAAAATAACTCATAAATGCTTCACTTAGTCGTGCCTGTCAGACGCGGTTTAACGTACGAAAGAAAAATGCGCCGCTTTCTCCGAAATGAAGTCAAGATGCGAAAAATGTCGTTGTTCCATCTAAGAAAGTTATTCGGCCTCGGGAATCACATATATTACAGAGTGTTTGGCGAAGGATTGAGTGACCCACACGAAATCTTCCTCAAAATTCAGTAAACGTCTCAGCTTCAGTGTTTTTACTCTTTGTCCAACTTCCCGAAATTCGTAGTTTCAACTCTAAGGACATGAAAACACTTTCGGGCCCCCCTTGTAGGCAATATAAATGGAGTGGAATTAACAGCACTTTTGGTCACTAAGCCTCTGAACTGCTCAGTGCGGCTCTATAAACGGTGCCTAACAGATGTGGCAGACTTCAGTTGACCGACTTTCTGTCTAATTTCTGCGTCGTTTCAGTGGGTACACACAGTTAATTTGACCGATTTTCTCTCAGCAAATAGTAACAAATCCAATCCACGCACTATATGTAATGACACGCTTCCGCGTGCTACCATTCAATGTGTCATCATTCGTATGTCATTAAAAATCCCATCTGATCCGAAATCTTTGATTCAGTTCAATATCGTACAAAAAATGGACGGAATAGTTTTGTTCACATTAAATTCACTAATCAGCGTATAATATGACAAATTATCTTGGCCAGCTATTCCCAAATAACATTAGAATCATCCACATACGATGAAAAGGTGGCTGACGACTGGTTACTCTTTGAGTTTAAATTGTGGTTCAATGTAGCGCTCTGCAATATCTTATAGTTTGGCCTGTCGTATGGTGTGGATGTACTTTAACAAGTCGATGAAACAGAGCAGGCTCGTTTGGCTATTCTTTTTATGGCTAACTGCATAAATGAACAATCATTTACTTGAGGGAAAAGTAGTTTTACAGTCTGTGAACGAGAAAATACCTGGTAATTGGTGGTGATATCAAAGCGAAGCGATTTTCGTACCACTCACCAGACGTAATCCAACTTGTTTTAAACTCGGATAACGCTTGAAGTTAACTAGGTATTATTCTCGGGTATCTGAAGATGGCAATACGTAACGGGTAGCCTTTCATTGTTTGTACCGTCAAAATAAGTGGTCCACTAGCTTTACTTAAAGTAAAACGCTGAGTTGCAGGTTGAAGAGCCATTTTTGCTTCATTTATTTATGAACAATTACATCGTGTTTTTCTCATCGGTTTTAATTTCTAACCACCCCATAACTCGCTAATGCTCACTTAGACGGGAAACAAGATGTCTTTTGCCAAGTTGCAAACCAGTGTGTAAAAATTGGATGTCGTTCGCTGAGCAATTATGATATCATTAACAGTTGGCAGGCTGAGGTTGGAGACTAAAACAGTTCAGTAATGCGTGTACTTACGCAGGTAATTGTCTAACAATCTGGTACCTGTACGCCTTAATCAAAACACAAATGAACTCACAAAAGAACTAAAACTGTGGAAAAGTCTTTGACAGTACATACTTATCTATACAATAATAGTGGTAGAAAGCAATTCTAGGGATTGGAAATTTGACCATGATTGCAACATTTGTCATACAGGCGGACAGGTTTATCCGCAAGCTAAAACACTTTCTACCGGGAACCAGTAAAGCATTCACTAAGAAGACGCTTTTAATATATGGCCTCTCATGTGCAATCACTTTTTGGCGTGCCGTGAAATTTGATATAAACAAAACCGACATGTCTTCAAGTGCTCGCAACACTTTTGACATTTTCGTGTTTGGTCTCTTACTAATTACAAGCACCATTATATTTGTTACCATTTTCGGTGACATTCAAAGACATCATCAAACTCTTGGTAATACGATCTGTGAATGAAAGGACGATGAAGGTAACTTTGAACGACCCAGATAATTTCTTGCAATCAATATTCCATTCTCTTCAAAAAAACTACTGATTGAATATTCAACTGGATAACTTGCACGATTTCTAACTCCAGGCAAACCTGGCCCACCTACGCAAGTGGCAGTTAAGTGTGTGAACACAAGAGCTTATGGTTCTTTTGCTATGCTCAGTTGGCTTCCAGGAGCAGCCAACAACGCGCCCGTTGAAAACACACATATAGAAATGGTGACCGGGACATTTAGGCCAGTGAATTATTCCGCAACTCTACAAACAAGCGAAACCGAGCGTTCTACCGGGGATAAGTCTTTCCTCGGCAAACCAACCCATGAGATGTTGGATGCTGCGAGAAATGCGGCCAAGATAAGTATCCATGCAAACCGCTGGTCTGCAGCTAGTGCCATATCCAACGCAACTTTGGTGAACCGCATTGAAAAGCTCATTCGCACACAAGGAGAATCCAACCAAATATTCAACCCAAAGTTCAACACTGCATTCATCCACCTGTACGCTGACGTCACTTACTATTTTCGTATTCGTTTACAAAATCAAGTAGGTTTATCGGAATCCAGCGCAGTCGCACCATCGCTTGATGGTCAAATGGAAGAGATGTGTTACATCCCACCGCAACCGGTTCAATCTCTCCCGGAAACATTGTTTGTCTATGGAACGAAACCAAACAATTTGGTTATTCGATGGAACGTGAGTTCAGAAGTTGGTTTCTCTTATTTTAAATAGACTATACGCCAAAATTGCACATCCGTCTAACTAATTTTGCTAGACGTTTTCATTTCGTCAGACGCGGGTTTCGAAAATACTGGTGATCTTGTGTATCGGAAATGATATTTCCCGGTTTGATGATATGGCCATATACATGGCAGCATTATACCCCTGAATCTCTCAACAGGTTTAATATATCCCACATTTTCACGTTATCTGTTTTTATAGCAGATGTTCCCGGAACTAGATTCCCAACTCATCAGATGTAATCGGTTTGGGACAAATGGATTTAATCTGCATAAAGACACTGTGTTTACTTCACAAACTGATGCAGTCGAACGTAAGACGTTAAAAGGAGTTATCAGGTTGATGCCTTTACGTCTCCTTAAGCAATACAACCTGAAACCCAGGTCACTGTGTTCCTGAGAACGTGGGTTTTATTGTGAACATTTATTAGCAGCATTGGTTCCAATTACCGGAATCTTGCTGTGTGATTTCATCGTCAGAGAAGTGAAATCGACAAATAGAGTAGCCAAGTTTATTTAATGCGTCCGGAATGTGGCATGCCGACAGTCGGAGATTTTCGTCTTGTTTTTGTATTAACCTTGAAGCTTTGAACTCGCTTCTTGAGATTTACTAGAGATCAGACATAAGTACGGATGCCTCACTAAATCTCTTTTGTAACCAGTGGAATTTAGATGATAGTCAGGATGTTTCAAAGCACAGAACAGGAAAGAGCCAGTAGACTACTCACTTTAATGTACAGTAGCATGTTAGATATTTATCGTTCCCGTCACCAACTGGACGAAGTCTTGCGAAATTTCAGCGCCGAATTTGATGGACTGCACAGTTTAAAAAACACGTGGATTGATTTGACATGCGATTGAGGTACCGAAACATTGAGTGATTCGATCAGCTGAACTATAATCCTTAGGCAAGAGTTGGAATCAGTTTAACAATCTGGTGTGTAGCAAATAAGACTAATCTCTGATGGAGCACTTGTGTGTTTTAAGAATTTGCATCACATTTGACGGACAGTCATTTTTAATTAGTGAGGGTGCTTTCCAAAACGCATCCTACATGTCAAAATTTGAATGATGTAGTTATCCCCTTTGGAGATTCTATACATACAGTGACATTACACGTTTAGCAATGTAATCAGAAGTCGTGCACTTGGAGCTACTGCTTGGTAACAAGACTCAAAAACTTCTCGACTGACAGTTAGGTCCGCGTAGTTATCCGCTTGAGTAAAATTTATCATTGTTGCTGGTCTCTAAGTTTTGGCATTCTGTGAACATTTATGTGGGGCCGTAGGACCATGTGACTTTGGGTTACATTCTTGCAGAAGTTAATGGACAGTGCAACGTCCCCTTACCTGACACCGAACAGTTTCAAAGTGCATTTAAAGGGTTTTCTGTCGGTATGCCCGGGATGTGAACAAACAGAACCCTTTTGAAGCATCATTTTGAAAGCAGCCTAAAATGCTTGCCTTTCGGGAAGAACACAGAACCGAATACTGAAGCCATTTTTCAAATAGTGTTCTGCAAATGCTGACTATGCTCAAGAGACAAAATCAGATGCATCCATAATAAACAATTTGTTGAAATATCTAAACAGAATTGCCTATAATGAATGAACGCAAAACCAAGTACCTCGATTTGGCTGATTTGGTTGTCGCACGACTGGTAAAGCTGGTAAATTCCGATCAATCTTGCAGTCAAACGACAACCACTTTTGAATTCCGGCAATGCCAAAAACAAAAAATCTAGTTTGTGCCCATGAGCTTAAAGGAGATGTGTGTTCAAACCGGAAACCTTATACAATATCACTTGTTTATCTCCAGTTGGATTCAATGTCATTTAAATATATTTAGGCGGAAAAGGCAACTAAATTTTCGATCAAATTTAAATCTGTTGATCGTCGTTCGCCAGTGTGTATGATAAATATTCCAGTACCACAGGTACAGCTAGTAATCTATTCGGGTTGAAATATTTGACGGCTTATGCAATTTTCTTGGACCAGACTGGGATGTGAATCCCAGAACAGGAAGATAAGTCTCTCCAACGGAACATTACTCGAGTCCATATTTTGTTCATGCATAACGCATCATGCAAGAGGACGCGCCGTGCCTTTCTATAAAGTCCAACATCGTGGGTAATTAGAGAGAAATATTCAACCATGCTTGAAAATATACGTCGAGCGGGAAATCCGCAGCTGAAAAAACGGTTATAAACGGTCAATCCGGAGCAAATTCAAAAGTTCATTATATCCATTAAACATAGTTCTCGTAATGATGTTGAGTGTAGCGGGCACGATATTTGCACTGTTTGCAAAGCCTCGGGTTTCAGCTTCTTCCAAAATGAGCCTTTGCATGGTGTGAACATCTGTGCAAACTTATCTGATGCCAAATAAGCTCCTCTTAATTACTTTCCTGATTACAAATCTCGACTCAGCTAACCTGCATATTTAACGAATGAACCAAATTTTTCGAAGATTCTGCCACGTATGACATTTAACTGTTGAGGATGACGAAACAGTAGCAAATGACGTAGGCTCTATTCTTCCCAAGAAGCTGTTTAATCGACTAACTATGAATCACAATTTCATCCCAAAAAGAGAATCACGGAAAATATTAGAATTACTATCCAGAATAACCAAGTCGGTATCAAGCAGAACGACTTTCCAGGCAGGGATCTGTTCGTCAGACTTTGGAATATTTATGGCCGATCCTCTTAAATTCGAATTTGTATCTCGCATTGCTATTTGTGGGCTACCCAAGTGAAGTCCAACTTTCACCGCAAATGTAAGACCAAAACTTAAAACGCGCGTAGGCATATGATTACAGATTTACCTCTTAGTGATGATAACTAAGTTTAAAGCAGGTGACCCTCCAGATAGCTTCGAAGATAATAAATTGAACACCTCCATAATGAAGAAATATGTTCAGCGGGTTGCCTTCTGTTTTTGTGTCCGTGTTGAAGGTATCCTTCTTGTCTAAACAGAACGCTAATGGATAGAGAATGGCATGAGTGACCCGCCAAATAACGAGAGATGACCAACGAGAACAACGTTTAATTGTGGTGATCAATGAGTGGTTACTTTGGACCCACATGTTATTAGCTGGCGGATCAAAATAAGCTGATATAACAATATGTTAAACTATCGGTCCAACTATCGGTAAATGTGCCGGCCTATCTTGTGCTATCGTTCAATCAATAGGAATATTATTATTAGGCAGATGTCATTTCAAGCGCCAAAAAATTACATAATATTTCGGTGGTGCACGTCGAATTGTTTGGTTTGTTTCCTTGGTCTACATATACATGTATGCGACATTTTTGGAAAATATTCCACGTATGCAGCGATCAAGTCTTTAAGCAACAATGATATAGTAGACAAAGGGACATGATTTTTTATCAATTCCATTGTCCGTTGGGATTGTTGGGCATTATTGTTCACACGCAGGTACAAAGTCTAGTGAAAAAAAGCTCTGACCCCCAGTAAATTTCTCTTGAGACAGTCAGAAAATACACAGGGAAAAACGGACTTTCTGAATATGTTATTTTTTACAACAAAGGCTTAACCTCATTTGATACACGTAAACTTATTTTACTTGTGATCCAGTGATTTGTAAATTATACCGCAATTCATAAACATGTTGCATAGATAGCATACGGCCACCGAAATTCCACCCAACGCCAGCAGAATGATTTCAATGCAAGGGTTGAACTACACTGGTGATGGCTTCAATCTTGTAGGAAACTGGTTGTTTCCAACCTGTCAGATCCTCCCTGAGAACCATGTAAGCAGTATTTCTATGCGAGGGCACTAAGTGCGAAGCGAGAACCCGGCAAGCACTTTACCCTGAGTAAACACAACTATCAGAATCTTCCGCACTTCGACTACCCAGCTAATGAAATTGCATGCTGTTAATGATGTTTCTCACAAAGCTTGTAACGTTTATAAACAATTTCACGACCAACATTTTGGAAGAAGTTACAACGTACCAACATTATCACTAGACAATTCCTCAGTATCTGAGTATAGCCCGGGTCTATACAAAAAATTCTACGATACTTGATGCGAGCAAAATGACATTGGGAAATATCATTCAGACTAAATTTACGGTTAAAACAATGTATTTAGGAACGATGTTTTACACTCATGAACCAGGAAACAGCTCAATTTTCATCGTTCCGCCTCTCTCTGTCATCATTTGAAAGAATACTGATTAGTGGTTTCCAGTGTCCAACCGGGAACGAGCACAGAGAATAGGATAGGTTTGGCGATAACCCACACCGCCACTGACAGAAATCGAGAAAATCGCATACATTCCGTCAACTGTTTTCAGTCTTTTGGCATGGAGCTGCTTTGGGAATTCATCTTGCGTTTGACTGGCGCTTTTGCGCAAGCCATGTTCCCATCAAGTTCCCATGCTAGCACGATCTTGAAAGTGAACCTAAAGTACCTAAACTTTCAAGAACCATAAAAGACCATTTTTTTGTATAAAACTACTTCACTAACTGAAAGACATAACGATACAAGGGAAAAAGCCCGGAAAACTAGACAAAACTACTGCTTTTGGGTGTCTGTAGCACAGTGGTTTTGAAAAGTAGATTACCATTAATAGACTAAGGTAATCCACGGTTGCCTTAGTAACAAACGGGCTGATCCGCCTCAAGTAGGACATATTCGTACGACACTCACAGTAAGAATCAAATAATGACAAGGAACATGCACAAGGCAAGTTAGGCAGCTTACAATGACTTTGGAAGTCTGCAATTAACGTTTTGTGTGCAGCGACGAATACGTTTGGAGGCTGAATATAGAAGTCTACATAAGTGGTATAATGTGTTAAATCAACACAACATCGGATGATGGGACATTCAGCCAAGACAAAAAGGGGATCATCGTGAACAGGTTCTACTTGGAACCGAAAACCCATCTACTTAATACACAGAGTTGTCCTCCTAGTAGCCAGTGAATAAAGAACCGGTCAGTTTGATCACCGCATGTTTGTCCCTACGTGACCTCCAATCCCTGAGAATATGTTAGCGATTTCTCCTGTTGGTCAACTTAAACAAAGTTGTGAATTTGAACACGTATCTAATTTATATCTCCACGTTAACTTCCAATCTATTTCTGCAGCTGAATTTATTTACTTCTTGGAAGTGTCAAATTTAATTTTCATGTTCTACACGCCCCACTTCAGGTGTGGCGAAAAACCTCTTGTCCCAAAACCTTAGCGATGATTTATCCTCACCAGACAGATTTCGCTTACTTCACAGGACGTTTTGTTGGAAATAATTGCGGGTAACGGTGACTGAGATAATCACGTATTTGGGCACCTCAGAGAATATAGTTTATTTACCTAGTTTCACTGCCGAAATAAGGATGTCTACCGAGCTTCTCTGGACATCAAAAGTTGTCTTCAATTTTGGATGAGTTCATTTACATTGGTAATACTTTTCAACCATTTCGAATCGTCTTTGCGTGTAGATGAGTGGAAAGCGTTTATGAAGTTAGGTAATCCACAAACCTTGGTACAGACTATAGCTAAGAGCACACGACAGAAATAGGAGATGGAAAAACATGACAGTGTCCAACAAAAAATACCCCGTCGGCGTAAGTTGGGCTCTACTTTAGTTTCAATTCCTGATATCCTCCCTCCCCGTGTACCGTGTGCTGTGTACGTTTTTTGCGTCCAAGATCCCGGAGCGAGTATGTCTATTTCATAGATCTGCTACAATCAGCTACACACCCAAATCCTCACATGCCTCCCTCCTTATTGGTAGCCACTTCCGCCAATAGAACACAATGGGCCTGGACTGGTTTATCGAATAACGGTTGCATGTATTGACTGCCGGTTCGGACCAAACAAGCCATCGAAAAACACCACCGTTGTCAGTGACTGGTCCACAGGAGAACTGATTCTCGATCGCCTCACCATAGTTATGGAGCCAAGAGGTGGCTATGTGCCGGACGTACGTACATGGACTATTGAAACTTTCCGTACTTATGAGGTGAGTTGATTTCATATCATTTTTCCAATCTGACATTCAGACCATCCACTAGTTTTCCATGTGATTGATAACCTTCAAATACAAATATATGGTACGTTGGTGTCCTTTGAGTGTTTCCTATGTGCAACTAAATTCATACTTGTCACTGAACTGTATTGCAATACTTAGATGTGATAGAACTATCGGTAGTCAATGGTAAAGTCTTGCTATAAAGGACCTATTGTTTTGTAACAGGTGCCGCAACAACACTGATGTTTTTCATCAGTGACAAACTGACATCTTATGATAGCGCCCAACACACTACCTATTTTGCTTACGTTAAATCTGAGACGATAATGAGTTTGCTTCTTGGATGCTTCGTAAATCGTAGTGCCTCAAACTTTATTCATAGGTGTACAAAGTGATACGTAAACTCCAGTGACTGGAGCTTCTCAACTAACGTATGTGAGGTAAAAATGACCACTGTTTTTACCCGACTAAAATTTTATATCAGAGTAACAGTGCAACGGAATGGGTTCATTCTGATAGAAATAATTCTTTTCAGGTGTCCCTGATGACCGAAAATGTCATGGGCACAAGAGTCCTAAAACCGTTGATCACAACTGGCCATTCTGGAGAGGACATTCCACAGCTTCGCCTGGAACCACCGGAAGTTCAATATATAGGGTCCAAAGAAGTTGTCCTAAGTTGGGCGGCATTTCCACTGCCCGGTTTGGACCAGAAAGTTCATGGTTATTTCAGGGGTTTCCGAATTGAATGGTGTGAGGCCGTATTAACCAATGAGCTTTGTGAATTCTACAAAGTGCATCAGGTGAGTAAAACAGAATGATCTACGTGAACTATATACCCTATTCTAATGAGAGCATTACTGTTGTAAAACTGTACTTCATTTAGGATTTTATTGTAAGGGAACCGCCACAATCAATGTTTGCCAATCTTCGAACTTCATATGTGGAGAGCAAATTGGAAAGCTTCAGTGAATCTGGTACAGCAGTTCAAATTACCAGTCCGGCTTCTGGCCAAACTTCGTTTTCTCCGCAGGACAATCAATGTTTGCCAATCTTCGAACTTCACCTGTGGAGAGCAAATTGGAAGGCTTCAGTGAATCTGGTACAACAGTTCAAATTACCAGTCCGGCTTCCGGCCAAACTTCGTTTTCTCCACAGGGCGTGGACAAACTGCAAGATAAATATGCAGAAACTGTGCTATCCAACAATACCTACACTGCTAAATTAGAAAGTTTGCCAGGACGAACAAAACTCAAAATTACAGTCAGTGTATTAAACATTCAGTATAATGGAATGCCCAGGTGAGTTTCCTTCTTTGAAATATTTATTGCTTTTGAAATCAACGCAACACATAAATAAGATCCAGTAAGTTGAGGCAAAATAGCATATGATGTATATGGAATAGTGATTGAATATATCCTTGAAACGACTTTTGAAATCAACGCAACACATAAATAAGTTCAGGTAAGTTAAGGCAAAATAGCATATGATGCATATGAAATAGTGGTTGAATATATCCTTGAAAGTTATGAAGTTAACGTCAGGACGCTGGTTTTTAGTTGTCGCACGTCTTGGCTAACACATAACAGATTTGTTCTACCAGCAATCACGGGAAAAGGTCATGTGAAACCAAAGGCACATAATATTTAGTGGAAGAAAAAGGGAATTGAAAGGGGGGTAAATGGGTCAATACGTCACGTTTAGTGGAAGGAAAAGGGAATTGAAAAGGGGTAAATGGGTCAATACGTCACGGAATTAAGTGAGTAAAGTCACTATCAGCCAAGTTTTTGGAACCGGATTTTTTCCAGCTCAAGTTCAGAGGTCACACCAGTTTCCTATGGACGTAAATCTGTGGACACAGGGCCAAATTTTAATCACCTCTGAGGTCAGTGATAGTATGGTTCGTACAAGTCGTGATTGGTACATTATAGATGACAATGATGGTGTGTTTTCTACCGATGGCTTGACTAATTTCGTTCAGATGTGATGCCATTGCATTTCAGTCCGTTTTATTTCAGCTACTACTTAAAGACACGGGATTGTGTTCTTGAACTCTCTTCGACAAAGAGCTTTTCGGAGGATGAACGTATGACATAGCACGACTATGCAAATTAGGACGTCCGTTAGGACGTATTAGTTTGTCTTTTAAACGGAAGATTATGCACAGGCTGCAACTGAAGCTCAAGCACTGATTTGCGCTCATGTATGTTGTACCAGTAGAATTTCTAAGCCCTCTGGTAACTAGCTCAGTTTACACAATTCACTTTAGAATGGTGTATCATGACCGGAGTGATAGAATCTAAATATCCTTGTTTGTCTTTTTTGCATGCTCTAGGTGATCCGAAGTAAATTTCACCGTATACATTTGCTGCTTAAATTAGGCTAGCGGGCGAGGAATCTAATATGATCGGGTCCGAATATTGAGGCCCCTGTGCCTTGCGGCTGTACATTGTTTACAAATATCTCGGTCAGCTGTATCGTGAATCAGTTGCAGTCATCTCACTCATCAAGAGCTGTTACACATCCGGAAACCTAACTTTGTCCTTAATAACATAGTTGTAAGGGTATCTAACCCCGTCTCCGGGAAGTTTCTTATTCACATGAGAGAGCTCACTATAAGACAGTCGAACAGATGAGTGGCAATACGCTCGTTCAGCAGCACTGTACAATGAGTCCAAAAAATATCATATATTCACCCCGTCTCCGGGAAGTTTCTTATTCACAAGAGATCTCACTATAAGATAGTCGAAAAGATGAGTGACAATACGCTCGTTCAGCAGCATTGTACAATGAGTCCAAAAATATCATATACTTTGCTTGCATAAGAGGATCTGTCTTAATTTTGTTGACTGAATTTAGTCCCTAATGTTCTTAACTTTCTTGCCTGTTTACAGCCATCCAATCTACGTTCTGACAAAAGAGGGTGTATCGGACGCAGTTCCCGAATTCGTTGTTACCTTTGTCGGCGTCAATCACGCAGAACTTTCATGGGTTCAGCCTACGCAAAATGATGGCATGCTGACAGCCTACGATCTGGAAATATTTCAAGGTCAGTAGTATTGCACCATACATTCTGCATTTGTTCGTCTTCCTTTCGGAAAAGTTCTAGAATAAGACTATTTGCTCATCATGATGTGTGCCAATTGCCACATCATTGCCGACGTCACTGAGGTCGGTTCCGAACGATAATAAGTCCATCAAAGAAGATTTACATTACGGTTCCAGAAGAAGCGTTCATAAAATCCTTGGGTGAGAGAAGTTCCGTCGTCCGAGGTGTTCGGGTTACTCAGACAGTCTTCGGATTCTGCGTCACAAACAAGTCAAGAAACACTTACATGAGAATGAAACGGTAAGCCATTAAGACTTTGGAAGCATCAGTATCTTAAACATTTATGAACCAGTTTTTTGACCAAAAACTCACAACAACAGAGCAGATGAATCTGTTAGTGCACTAACGAATGTGTATCTTAACAGGAGATGATGAACACAATAGTTAGGTGCGCTTGATAAAAACAGATACAATGCGAAAAGTGGAATAAGCCAATAGGTGATCTATCGTT